ATATGTTTTCAATGAATCTCAACCATACCCATTGAAAAAAGTCCTTTTTTGCTTAGATTTTTGAAAACTTGTATATATATATATATATATATATATATTTGTATTTCATCACCTTATTTGCTACCTCATTCATGAAATTTCCTTTCCGTCTTGCATCTAATGTTGCTAATCACGTTTAAAAATATAGAAGGAGATCTTTGTGTGTGATTCTTAGAGAGAAAAAACCTTATTTATTTGAGTTTTTAATTTTTATGTGTTTGGCTAGTTTTAGTAAGTTTATGATTAATGACTAGAAATTGATAAGTTAGAAGTTTTTGCGGACATTTCTGTAAGATTCCCTCTTTTTACCGACTAAAAGTCTAAAACTAATCAACAGTTACTCTGTCTCAATATTTAAGTGGGCTCTTTTATTTGACCACATCACTTTGATCTTTACAAAAGTTCAAGAAAAAGACATGGCAGTTTTCATATCTGAAGTTAATATGCAGTAATAACTAGGTTCACTAATTATGTAAAATATTTAATATATATGTGTAACACCCCCGACCGTTCGTATTGAGTGTTGTACCCTTGTTCCCCTATTTACTGCTCATTTTATACTTAATAGTTGCTATGTGAATTGCCGGGGTAGTTGGTTCGGTTCCGGGGAGGTTTCAAAATGAGTTGAGACACTTAGAGTTCATTTGGACATAAAATTTAATGGAAGTTTTTTCCAAAAAAATTACTTTTTTTCAAAATTAGCGTTTGTTCATAAAATTTTTAATTTTCACTTGAAGAGCATTTTGAAAATTTTTGAAAATTTTAAAAACTCCAAAAAGTTATTTTTTAAAATTTTCACTCAAATCACTCACAAAACTTCAAAAATAATCCAAACTGAAATTTATATCCAAGTACAACTCTAAATTTCAAATACCATTTTTACTTGAAAAACAATTTCACCATATTTTTGAATTTTACAATTCTTATGTCCAAACGACTACTTAGTCTCAAGATTGGAAGTTTTAGTTGAAAAAGTTGACCGGAAGTTGACTTATGTATAAACGACTCCATAATGGAATTTTGATGGTCCTGTTAGTTCCGTTGGGTGATTTTGGACTTGGGAGTGTGTCCGGATAGTGATTTTGAGGCCCGTAGTTGAATTAGGCTTGAAATGGAGAAAGTTAAAAAATTAGAAGCTTTGGAAATTTAGAAGTTTGACCGAGAGTTGACTTTGTGGTTACCAGACTCGGATTTTAGTTTCGGGAGTTGGAGTAGGTCTGTTATGTCATTTGTGACTTGTGTGAAAATTTTGAGGTCAATCGGACGTGATTTGATAGGTTTCGGCACCAAATGTAGATGTTAGAAGTTTAAAAGTTCATTAGGCTTGAATCGATTAGTGATCCGTAGTTTTAGCGTTGTTTGATGTGATTTGAAGGCTAAACTAAGTTCGTATCGTGGACTTGTTGGTATATTTTGTTGAGGTCCCGGGGGCCTCGGGTTAGTTTTGTTTGGTTAACGAGTCAATATTTGGACTTGGAGAATTGCTGAAATTTTCTGGTGCACTGATCTGGTTAGCAGTTGTGGTATTTTGTTCAATGTGATCGCCAGTTCTGGTATGCGATCGCGTAGGCTGGGGAATCAATGTACGCAAATGGGTGGGCTAAGCCACGTTCGCGAAGAGCAAATCAGGCAAGAGTTGGCCACATACATTGTTCTATGCGAATGCGTGGGTCTATTCGCGATCGCGTAGGCCTGGGAAGCCTATGCTTCACGTTCGCGTGAGTGTGTATGCGATCGCGTAAAGGAAGTTATGGGGCAGTAGAATTTATGCTTCGCGATTGCGAAGGTGTTTCCGTGATCGCGATTAAGGATATCTGACCAGACTTTAAATATTTCAAAATGAGGGTTTGAGTTCATATCACAAATTTGATTTTGGGAGCTCGGTTGGAGGCGATTCTTGGAGAGATTTTCAAGGGAGTGATTGGGATTCGAAGCAATCGAAGGCCGTTTCGCGAGACAAGGACTTGTTGGAGTAGGGATTTGCTCAGTTTGAGGTAAGTAACACTTCTAAACTTGGTTCTGAGGGTATGAAATCCTAAATTATGTGTTATGTGATTGTTGTTGAGGTGATGCACATGCTAGGTGACGGGTGTGTGAGCGTGCACCGTAAGAATTGTGACTTCGTCGATTCCGTGGAACTGTATAGTTGAATAATCATGTTGTTACCTGTATTTTTACCATGTGTTAGATCAATTGAGCTGCGAGTCATGTTAGAAATCTTGCTTAGGCTCTGTATTGGTACTGTTGGGACCCACAAAGGTCGTGTTACATGTTGAATTATTTGCTTAATTTGTCAAATTTTACTTAGCCACATCTATTATTTGCATAATATGTCTCAGCCTTTGTTGTCCTTTATTTGATACATCATATCATCATTATTTGGGGTGACTATCATGATTCTGGTGAGCCCAAAAAACTGGAGAGATTAATGACCGAGTGAGACTGAGGGTCTATTGTGAGTGATATTCATGGGATCGGGTTGCATGCCGTATCATGCTTTATTGATTCATGCCAGGATTTGGCTTATTATAGCGCTTGGGCTGGATCGGCCCCTCCGGAGTCTGCACATCCACAGTGAGCGCAATGCTAGCAATTATTAATTTTTGGGCTGGATCTGCCCTGGTTTATTTGTATTTTAGGCTGGATATGCCATGTTCTGTGTTGAGTTTTATTGCAAAACCTGAAAGCATGTCTAAATTCATGTACCTTTACTTGTAGATTATAAATTTATAAGATATCACTGTCATATTTGTTGTAAGTCTCCGTTCTGTTAATACTGCATGTGGACTGTATTACTCAAACTCATCACTACTTTCAGTCCAAAGGTTAGATTTGTTACTTATTGAGTTGGTTGTACTCACGCTACACCATGCACCTCGTATTTCCAGTCACGACGATTGTTGATTCACAGAGTGTTTCCGGTCACGACGGTTGTTGATTCACAAAGTTCAGACATTCGGAGATCATCGAGGTAGCTGCTTGGCGTCTGCAGACCTTAACTCTCCTCCCTTATCTTTCAGTTCTACTTTCTAGACATGTGTACCAGACTATGTAATTATCTAGGTGCTTATGTACTCAGTGACACCCCGGTTTTGGGAAGACTTATGTATTGAGTTATGATATGCTATCCTGTTTTATGAGATTTTTATTTATTTAAACTGTTTTAGTATATTTCAAAGGTTAACAGTGTTGGAAATGTCTGAGTAGTCGGCTTGCCTAGTAGCATGATAGGAGCCATCACGACAAGTTGGGTTTGGGTCGTGACAATATATATATGTATAATCTAAATAAAATTCTTAATAATATTCACGTGAACTCATAACTTATAAACTATGTTCGCCTAGGGGCGGATCTATCGTGAGAGTTCGGGATGGTACGACACCCGCCCGCTTCGATTAAAATTTTGAATATGTAACTATATATCTAGCCTAAAACGTTTATAAACTTAAAGTGCCACCTGCAATTCAAGGTGCCACTGGATCAGTTAGGCTTTTCAGCTTTTGTAGTCTTTCTTTTTCAAAAGAACCCAAGTTCGAATCGTATGGACGCAATAATGCTCTGGCTTGCCGTCTCTTCTTTGCATTTTCCTTTGCTCTTCTCCTTTTGAAGAAGGTAAGGTATGGGGAAGAGCCAAACCTCAAGGGGTTGATGTNAGCAGAAAATCAAAGTTTATCAGAAGCCTGGTCTAAAATTCCTGAAAAATTAGCTTTTTATGATTACATCGGCAATAATCCGGCAAAAGGGGGATTATTCAGAGCGGGCTCAATGGATAACGGGGATGGAATAGCGGTTGGATGGTTAGGACACCCTATCTTTAGAGATAAAGAAGGGCGTGAACTTTTTGTACGTCGTATGCCTACTTTTTTTGAAACATTTCTGGTCATTTTGGTAGATGGTGATGGAATTGTTAGAGCCAATGTCCTTTTAGAAGGGCAGAATCGAAGTATAGTGTTGAACAAGTAGGTGCAACTGTTGAGTTCTACGGTAGTGAACTCAACAGCGTCAGTTATAGTGATTCTGCTACTGTGAAAAAATATGCTAGACGTGCTCAACTGGGTAAAAATTTTGAATTGGATCATATGCTACTTTGAAATCCGATGGTGTTTTTCGTAGCAGTCCAAGAGGTTGGTATACTTTTGGGCATGCTTCATTTGCTTTGCTCTTCTTCTCTGGTATTGACCCAGATTTAGCTGCTCAAGTCGAATTTGGAGCATTCCAAATATTAATGGTTGTTTTCACTGTTCGAACTTGTGACGTATAAGTTACACAGAGACAACTTTATCATTGCTCCAAGACTCCCTTCTTTGTTGACAGTGTCGAAACTCAAATTTTAGTGTTTTAAACTCATGCATTGAATTAGATGTGTCCTTGTTACACTAGATAAGACCAAATTCTCATATATCCGCTTTTTTATTACTTTCTTTTGTGCTTTAATTGATGCAATTTGCATAAGGAAGAAAAAAAGATCATTACTTCTCACTATTTCTGGGAGTGAGTTTTGCTTGCTAATATAAGAAATGGATAAACATACTCATTTGTGATTAAACAAAAAAGGAAGGAAGATTTTTGTATTTTCAATGTAGGTAAAACGTACATTCTTCTGAAACTGGAAAATCACACAAAGGTGAAAACTTGAGCCAGAGATCATTAACACCTCTACCATGTGTTCCTCTATACAAAGGAAAAGTGAATTCACACACTAACATAGTGAGTATTCGCAGTCTAGCAGTCGTGTTAGAATTTCCTCACAACTAGGTCTTTCGTTTGGCTCTGCCCAGCAGTCTGCAAAATAAGCATAAAAGAAAAATGTAAATGCCTCGTCAAACATCTAGCTGTAATTGAGACTAAATACGTTCTATGCACAGAAGGTGTAAAAAAAAAAAATTACACAATCGAGTCACTTATAAAGTAGTAATTAAACTAATTTGATAGTGTAAAGAATCTTTATATTGTCAGTGTATATTAATATAGCTTAAAATTCGGCTGTAATTACCTGCGATTAGTCTACCAAGGGGTCCCTCAGGTATCTCTAGCCTTGCTCCTTCATTGGCAACAGCATAAACTACCTAAAAACAAACACAGCGCTTTACTGGATGCAGCCATGTGGAAATACCAATGTGTTTTCTAGAGCTAATTAACCTGTATCAAGCTACAAGGTTACATTAACATACCCGATCTGGTGGTATACCCTCCCACGGTCTGTTTAGGGTGCAAAGCTCCCACATTATCACCCCAAAGCTAAAAATGTCACATTTTTCCGTGAAAGGCTCATTACGAATGAGTTCTGGAGCCATCCATTCAGGAGTGCCAGCAGACGCCAAGTCTTTCATAGATGCATCTGTCATTATTCTTGAGAGCCCAAAATCACAAATTTTGACAGTCCAACGCTTATTCACGAGGCAGTTTGCACTTTTTAAATCACGATGGACAATCTTCATCCGATGTAAGCACATCAACCCTCTTTAGCTCCAACAGAAAAACGAGTCAGTTTCTATTACATAACTGCGGTATTTTTTTCCAGAGGTTCTAATAAACCAACCTGCATATATCACGAAGCATATTGAGCCTCTTCTGCCAGCTAAGCCTCTTCTTTTGACCACTTAAATGGGTCAAATAATACAGAGATCCCATCTCCATGTACTCAGTAACCATTGATAAACGTGGAGGGTTTGCACAGGCACCCAGGAATAATATAACTGTGAGGAATGACATTAGTTAGATCACACTCATCTAACTACAAATATCAGACTTTTAAGCAAATTGGCAGTAAAAACGAACACTTAAAAGAAACAAGAAAAGAGATGTACCATTTGGATGCCGAAGTCGGCTGGGGAAAAAATGACAAGAAAAGAACACTTAATGTTAGTATAGTATAAAGCTGAAAGTAACAGAATCCATAAAGAAGATACAACACCTAAGGATAGAGATCTCATTGCAGAAGTCCTCCATATTTTCAGCAGTAAGATCTTGCTCCAGAAAAACTTTAATAGCAACCTCAGTTCCATTCCACTTGCCACGGAAAACTTCTCCAAAGAACCCTAGAAATATAACCAGAAGGTTTAGACCTCAATCTCTAATACAACTTAGGGTGGTGGAACCAGATCGTTCATTATAAAAATCAGAAGTCCGCGCCATATTGTAAAACTCAGCATTGATTCTACAGATCACTGTACAACAAATATTTTATCTTCTGATGAAATGAATTAACAAAACATAAGAAAATGCATATCTGGTCCTTGATCATAGAAGAGACAAGAAAATGATTTTACTTTTCTCAATAGGTAATGTACAAAACCTTTCCAATACAAATCCTTCTGGCATCCGTTATCTAGTGCATCTCTTACACTTCAGTGACACGACACAATTTGTTTCTTATTTGGCAAGGGTGTTAGACACTGTGAGGACCTCATTCTCTAAGACAAGAAGACTGGATAGGACGCAAGCTCTGGTGTACATTCAATTTGCAAGGTCCACATTCAAGTTAATAGCTTTTAGTTTAGTATCTCCGTTCCCAACAATGTTTTTGCTGTCCATGCCCTAGGGATCATCTGATCAGTAGCAATAAACCCATTGCAGAGGCTCAAGTATGGAACAACAAAAAATAATATTAAGGATGGAAGATTTAGATACAAATCACGAGATACAGTGTTTGTTATAAATCCGTTTTGAAGTCAAATCAACTAAATTCTTTTAAGAAATTTTATAATGGAACACAGGATCTTAGAGCTGATAGTCACAAGAAAAGAGACAGACGATCAAGAAAACAAATAGACTCATCTCCATTTATGGTGTCACCTTTAGTATGTCAGAACTAACAGAAGAACCTATTTCACCCCAATGTCCACACGTGTTTTTTCTGCCATAGAGGCCACAAATGTTGTCGTTTTGTACCTCAGATTCAAGAGAAAGAAAATTGAAATGAGACATTTCAGGTTCAGTACTAAGCTCATCTTTCACATTGAGAGGTGCAGAAGCATATTGGAGAATCTATGAGCAATGTAGCAAAACCCAACAGAACACATCAATAGGCCATTAGAAACCCTCACTGTGTCACTAATCTTCAATATGATCCACTTTCATGTCTTCAGCCCTTCGTAGATGTTCTAAAATCAATGTATACTTAGTTAAATAGTAAGTTTAGATAGCTACAGGTGATCTGCTTCCCTCGCTCCCTCACACAACACATATGAACCCTCATTTGCTTAGGTTTACTTGAATACGGTCCCCAAGTATCCATCCCTCTGTAGAATCCTCCATTGTCTGAAGTGAAGCAGATATATCCGATTTTCATTTAATGCTAATTAACGCACAAAAGGATCAAAGATTTCATGAGATGATGACAAAGGATGAGCTAGGTTGCTCATACATTAAAGTGGGCAGAGCATGATCCACCAGCAATAGCATTCTAGTCTACAAAGCATGAGACCAAGGAGCAAATACGCAGTCAATGCAGGCATATTAGTGGCACTAAAGAAATATGTTATCGAAGAACTTAACAAATAAACAAAGAAAGAAGCTGAAATATATAAGCACTACTACAAAAATGTGCTAGAACAATGCTTACCTATGCCAACTCGAGTGCCAACAGTCAACTCTGAGAAGTCTATATTCCATTCTTCAAAAGGTAGAAGAGGCTTATTCTGATACATATGTGATTCTAGAATCCTGTTCCAGGTTGAAAACAATTCATTATTCGTCCTGTCCGGACCACTACTTTCTGGAGCCTGCCTCCTCAGCTCGTGGGGAGATGAGGGTAATGACATTGCCTTCTGTGAACTGATCTGCTCCCTTGAAAAAGCCAAAAAGTTAGAATGCAGATCCAACATTTCATCACGCTGATAATGGTGAAAATCAGGGACCAAAAAGGTACGCTAGTTAGTCATTGACTGAAACAAGTGGAGACCAAAAAGCATCAAACTACTGTGGGGCTGAAATCTGTGAGGTGAAGATAGAAGTATTAGTTGTCAATCAGACTTCCCGTAATATCACCAAGGAATTTAGCATATACCCCTGATACATGTCCAGCAATCTAGAGAAGGTAAAAATAGATTCAGACAAGATCTTAACTTTCACAGATTGAAATGATGAGTTTCGGGTTCTAAACTGGTTTTGGATGGAAAAGCAACAACCTCTAGAATTAAACCAAAATCAGAAGCGAAAGGATAAAACTTTTTCATTTATTTTCCACAATAAGATGAATAAGAGTTAAAAGGAAATTTCAATCTCAAATCCAAACATCAGAGCAAAAGAGGTACAACTGGAAAAACATAATTCTGCTGGTCATTGGATCGAAAATAAAACCTAACTGTTACCGGAGCAAAAGACATCAAAACTACTAGTGGTCCTCAGAAGCGAAAGGATAAACTTTTTCATTTATTTTCCACAATTAGATGAATCAGAGTTAAAAGGAAATTTCAATCTCAAATCCAAACATCAGAGCAAAAGAGGTACAACTGGAAAAACATAATTCTGCCGGTCATTGGATCGAAAATAAAACCTAATTGTTACCAGAGCAAAAGACATCAAAACTACTAGTGGTCCTCAAAACAGAGAGAAAAAGCAACATACATCCTTTTTCAGATCTGACGCACAATCTCTGTTGTTTGAAGCATGAAATGAAGTATTTTCCTCTTGTTCTTTCAAGAGTCGGTTCTGCTTAAGTGCTTCATTCATTGCTCTAACAGCCCTGGTATCAATATGAGCCAAAAATGAAATTAAGTACAAGAACGTGGTACCTAACAAGTGTTTAAACAATCTTCAGGTCAACATCCATATAGTGGCAAAGAACTAACAGGCATAATTTCTAGGTACGGTATTCTATTTCTGCCCGTAAGTGGTCCTAGGTGATGTTCGGATAGTTCTTTGGAAATGTTTATTGCGATTCATAATTTTGTTTGATTTTCACCAAACCACCCACATTATTACTTTCATGACCATTATCTAAACATAATAACATTTCAATAAAGCAACATGTATTAGGCAAATGAGTTATTATGACAGAAACAATTTAAAAAAGCAAGAAAATAATATAAAAGATAATAAAAGCTTACAGCAAAACAAAATAAAGTTAGAGAAAATTTTGAAAAATTCAAGCAAAATATGGAATAAGTAATAGAATAAGAAAGGTGAATTATGGAAAAAAGCTTACAGAAAAAACAAAGGGAGGAAATAAAATAGAAATTTCTTTAAATTTCAGAAAGAATTTAAGAAAGAAGAGTCAAAGTGAAATCAATGAGCTTTGCTTTGCTTTTTTGAAAAAACAAAAACACATTTTCTTGCTTCTATATCAATTACCTCTGTTTGTGAACACGAAAAACATTATAAACTTTTTCAAATAAAACACAGCTGAGAAACTTCTTGGAATGTGCCAGGAAGATAGGTATAATGACACAGTAGGAATCAGTACGTTCAGATTTGCACAAAATTTATACAGGAAAAAGTGAGCCAATGTATAATAGAGCTGTTGTAAGCACTGTTGATAAGACCATTATAGTAGAAACATTGACCTTACGATATCATCACCAATTTCTGGAGTTATACTAATGCTCCTTCTTCGTAATCTTCGTGTTTCTGATGTTGATGCACCTTCTGACCTGTGAAACACAGAAACAATAGGGAACTCAGCATTCTGAAAAGAAAAAAAAAATCTTTTTGAAAAGGTGACATATAAAAATCAATAATAATAATAATAATAATATTGACAATCCTGATATGTTGATTCAGTTATTAACAAGAAATAGGGTGAATCTTACGAGTATAAAAGTTTAGAACCTGCACATATTTTGACTTAGATGCACACTAGTATTTTTGGTATTACCTCTCCATATAAAAATATGAAAGGGTAATGTAGTTCTGTTGAGAACAGAAAAAATGAACAAACTGCACATAGTTTTTCCATTTTAAAGAGGTTTTAATTTCTCTGAGATGGTCTATAAAAAGAGGTAAGAGAAATCGAAGTGGTGGAACATGTTTAAGCTTCTAATGACCTAGGAAGTGTTCCCATAGCTAGAAAACCAACTGCAGTATCATACTGAAATTAGCAACTGACTCATGTTGTTTGCCCATGTATTGTTCTCCTTTGCTATTAAAAGTATGTAGCTCTTAATTTTAACAGCATGTTGAAAATAGTTTTTGGGTTAACCGACACCTAAGCATCTCGGTGAATTGCACTAAGGTGCACTGAAACAAACAATCTCAAATTGATTGCTGAAGGGATACATGGATGGGAAAAAATTAAAAGCTTAAACTCATTTTGAGCCCAATATGAATTTAAGTGGCTTAAATTTATCTACAAACTATCGAGAAAATGATCAAAACGGTCCCTAATGTATGAGCTTTGGTTGCACTTGGTAATGTATAAACCTGATGGAAATGATCCTTATTGTATCCTAAAAGGTGATTACTTGGTCCTAATCTCTATAAGGTAAAGATATTTGCTACTTTTTCTGTCAAAATAAACGGAGTCTTCGGCATGTGCAGTTTAGGTGAGCTAACTACAAAACAAAGGTGCCTTCTTGGTCGACTTTGCATAAATAATACCCACGGACACACCTACATGATTGGCATTTTTATCCCCACATTTTTCACTCAATAAAGTATCAAACTCAATCCCAAAAAACCAGATTTCATTAAGAAGCCCAAAGTTTCTCCTGGAAAACTTGGATGAGAAATTGGTAGGAACAATTACAAAAGACCATCACAATTGTGGGGTGAGATAGAGAATGAGAAGTCAATGGAAAATGAACTGGAGTCGAGAAACTTGAAGGTTATTCTCTGGAAGACAAATCTGGAACCCTGAGAAGACTTTGATGGGTCAGTGAGTTGCAAAAAGGAGACATCTTTAGTGATCTTAGCATCGCCAATAAGACCAAGATTTGGATCAAAGTGTGAACTGAGTCCAATGGAGAACGACAAAATGGAGCACGGGAACAAAGCCAAGAGGAAGATTGCTTTGATTAACATTGGTTTGCGTGGGCTCTGTTTATTTTGACGGCAAAACGATCGGGTATCGTTAGAGTTTCTCTATAAGCTATTAACATAATATCAAAGACACCACATCCATGTAAAGCTTGTGCTAGACCCAACATTTTTTTTTATAAAGTGAGCTCCCAAAATCATTTGCTGACATCGTGGCTTAGTTCAAGTGGCAAAGGTTGAGGGACTTGTGGGTCACAAGTTCGAGCCCCACGTCATGCGAATTAAGCCTGGTATTTTTGTGGAGAAGGGCAGAGGGACTGGCTCATTATACCCGAGTTCTGAATGTTATGGTTGGTCCAAAGGGTTGGCCCCAGGCGGATTTCTCAATCGTCAAGAAAAAATCATTTGCTGACACCTCATTCAGATGTTGACGAAATGTGTCCGTTGACAACACAAGGTCACCTACCCACAAAAAGATAGAAAGAACTGCCCTGTAGTTTATACTTTTTCTTCTAAATCAAGGCACTCTTTACTCATTATCAGCGTTTCAGAAATTAAATACTCATTCACAATACTTCAAATGTTCTAACTATATCACAATGTTGTACCTTGATGATTGATAAAGAAGTCCGAAATCCATACTAGAATTTCGGCCATGATTAACTTCAGAGTAGAATTTCATCAATTATACAATCTCACATGAGATGGCTCGTGAGAAGTCAATGATGCTCTGATGCGACATAAAGTGATCTTAAAGTATAAGATTCGGAACTTATATTTAAGCATCATTGACCTCTTTTATTACTTCTAACCTAAGTGTATGAACCAAAGGGTGTAAACTGGGAGACACTAAACATGAATGAGAAAAATACCTGATATAGACCAAATAATGGGAGGGCCAAAAGTTACAATATAATTGATTCTGATATGTAAATTTTGCAGTTATACTTCAGAGGAAACAGAAAACGGGACTGAATCAGATACCTTGAAGTAGCAACATCATCTGAATAATCCCTGAATGTTTTGTTATCACCACTAAGCATGGACCGTCCATGTGCTCTAAATGAAGGATGCTCGGGACTGAAAGAATATAATACAATTGAAAAATGAGAAAAAAGAACACAACTACACATTAAGATATTGCACAGTGCAGTTCAAGTAAATGGAGATAATAGTCACTTTGATGTTTATTAAATACATAAACATCTAAGTCCCAGTTTATTCATTAGATACACTAGACAGATTCAGGGATTGAAACAAAAACCATGCCAAGCTCTTAAAAATATATGCATATCCTTATTTTCCCTAAGGATCAATAAGTTATATCTACAATCTCACATGTGAAGTTACAGTAGAAACTATTCATACAGGAGGTACCCCAAATGTATGCTCTACCATGAGCTGTCAAAGCCGAGTAGCGACTTAAGGTATTGTAACTTGTAACCATCATTTGTCAAAAAAAAAGCCTGGAAATTCCTTTCTCAGAGTCTTCTATTACACTAATTCAGGGGGCAAGTATTTTTAGCTTAACACTTTCACGTATAGGAGCAATCGCATTCTTTCATGCTTGCTCATCCAATTTCAGAATAATTCCCAGAGAACCAGATATGTGTCACCAATAAGATTCTACTTTTACACTCGGAATCAAAACTTAGCAACAGCACCAAGGATCACAACATAGCAGGATCATCCTCATCTTCTGACAAGGATCTATGGGTATAGAGTAAAGATAATCGTATAGTAGTGTCTAATTAACAATGGAATTAAATCAGATAAAAAGCCAACCAATCAAATTTGACACTCCCGTGACGTTATGCAATGTGCAATGCACAAAGAACCTTAATCTTTTTTATAAGTACAAGTACCTTAATCTCAGAACACAAAGACCTCAAACACTCTGTTTCAGAAGCATGTTAATCTTTACTTTAAAGTTACCCAACATGATAAATTTGTCTTCATTTATGCCCTACATGACCTGCTCAGCAGCATCGTTCTGATTATCCAATCAAGAATATGTTCACGGCAACAAAGTTTGGTAACATTGAAGGTGAGAAGTGACGCCGTCAGAAAACCTACTAGAAACTGAATAGATTTAACTGTGTGTTTCATAATCATTTCTAACATTCACACACAAATTCATATAACATACTGAGAGATGTGCAAGCACGAATAGACCCAAACATTACAGGACTGTGAATAAATATATTGTCAGAAGTCCAAAATATTGAAAAATCATGTTAAGGAAAAAAAGAGTAGAGTCTGGGTCATGAAAAAGAAAACCTTGAACTTGCAGTCCTCGGTTCTGTTATAACTTTCCGGCGACCTCTTCTCCAAACCGTTGAAGCAGTATTAGGTTCGCTATGCGACAAACTGGTACAGAAATGATTTAATACGAAAGAAGCAAAATAATACCTTAGTTTCCAAAAGTAATCCAACAAATGGCCGTTCAGAATGTTTTGCATTCAAAGAGGGTCTCGGTATGAGCTAAATAATACCTCAGTTTTCTGTCAATTGAAGTGTTAGAACGCAACATCATATTCCTCAACGAATATCCAGCAGCACCTGAAGATGCTTCAAATCTCCTCTGATACTGGAGGATGTCATCTTTTTCAGAACTGTAGAAATGGAAGATCAGTTTAAAATAACAGGCTACAATATATAAGTGAGCAACAATCTGTTTCTCCACCAAAGAAAACGAAATTTCTAAGGGAAGTTACAGTATGTCTACGAAGATTCTCATCACGCAACAGAAAAAGAGTACAACAACAACATACTCAGTGTATTCCCACAAGTGGGGTCCGGGGAGGGTAGTTTGAACAGAAGAAGAGTATGAAAACTAAATAGAAAATTCTCATAACACAACAGAAGAAGAGTATAAAAACCAAATCGAAATTGAATATATTCAAAATGAAGAATAATTTCCTTCTAACCTATCAGTATCGTTTCTCTCTGAAACCCCATAGAGGGGGCTGTTCGGTTCCAGAGGTGAATCGCAGGAATCATTTTCTGCAGAATCACTCTCCCCAGCAGCTATGTGGGTTAGGAAAATAGCCTTGGTTGTTCGTGGAATAAGTTGACCAGGAAAGCGCATAAGGTCAACAAGTAGCTCCACAGAATTTAGCACAACTAGTATAGACATGTGCTTATAAGATTCTTCACACTCGGACGCTCCTTCAGCAGGTAAACCCTGATTTGTGAAACATAAAATTATAATAAGTAAAATATAAGCAGATATGGAAATTAAAGAAATGTTAGCAACGATTCATAGTAACAAGTAGCAAGACACTGTTTAGTCCTAATTTTAGAGATAAACAGAAATGTGCAAGCAAAAATAATTTTCAAGCTCACCACAACTAGCCGGCTTTCAAGACCTACAGTATCCGCAAGTAATTTGAATAATATTGCTCGAGGACGGCATGAGCCATGCTTTATTTGACCCAACATCTGGACACCTCGGTTGTCAGAAATGTGAGAGGCTTCATCATGTGAGGCTTTAGTATGACATAGTTCCGAGTTTGGTCGTTTGTAAACATCAGACACCTGTGTAGGAAGTCATACAAGCAACAAAAAGAAATCATAAATGTCGATAGACCTTAACGTCAACTCTTTTCCCTCTTCTAAGAGTAAAAGTTCAAAGCATAAACCTACAGATTTCACATGCTCCCACCATTTTAACGCTAAAGTATTTTCAGTTTGAATTCTTATGCTCTCCCATTAGAAACTAAAAAATACATTTTGAATTCTTATTTTACTAAAGGGATAAAAAAACTTTTGATCCTTGAGTTATTAATAAATTCTGGTTTAGATACTCGTGATATTTGGCTAAGCATACTTAGCCTTCAATAAATTAAATTGTGTGTTTCTTTATCCCTTTATATAGGACATACAAGTCTCCAATCCTAAAAATGTTGGAACTAATGTAAGTGTAACAGCAACTTATCCTTAATCCCAACTAGTAGGAATTTCTGTATAGCATATACGGATTATTTGCTTCCAATATATTCTATTCTTAGCTAAATCCCCATTGATTAAGATCTTTTGAGACAACATCGTGTGCTTTTTCGTATATCCGCCCTTTTCAGCACCCTCAAGTATCATCTTGTCGCACCTACAATTGGTACATCCGGAAGTCTACAAGAAGCATGGTCAAACCATCTTCTACTATTGACGTCATTCTATCCTCTAAGTGTGCTTCAAGCAATTCTATTTGATGTGATCATTTCTAATCGCAACCAATTTTGTAAGAGCGCACATCCATCCGTATTTCTACAAAATCATCTTGCAGATATATTAGACCCCAAAAACCCAAAATTCCCCCGCATGTAATATGGTTGGACTCACAGCTGTTCTATAGAAATTTATTTTCCCTTTGTTAAGTATCTTTCTATTACATAGTAGCTCCATAGAACTCCTCCATTTCAATCATCCTACTTTAATTTTATGAACTATATTTTCTTCTACTATGTCATTTTTCTGAAAATGACTAAGCTTGATATTCATATTGACTTCATTTTAGGCACCATAACTCCATCTATTCTCACTTTATCTTTGTTCTACCTATATATGGGCTAAACGTCGTTCTTTATACCATACATTATCTTATCCATAACTAAGATAAACAAGTATGAACTCAAGGGACATTAGGTAATGAAATATGTCCTAAGTCTTGGTGGATAGAGTTACATGGAACTTGAGCTGGTGGGAGTAGCAGGAATTAGTCGAGGTGCGCACAAGTTGGCCCGGACACCACGGTTCTTCAAAAAAATCATGAACTCATGGAACAAGTTAATATGTAAGTTGAGAGAAAAGGATATATGAATACCCACCAATCCAGCTATCTTTTTTATCATAGCTGCAGGAGTTGAGTTCAAACCTTTCACCAGTGCAACAATGAGTTGCTTTAGCATTGAGAGCTTCTTGTCTTTCTTGGTGTCCACAACTATAACATCTGCTCCTAAACCCTCAGGCTCCAAAGCATGAAGCTCATCCAATGTAGGAATGTCTTCAAAAAGTTCCTTTAGCCTTTTCTCCTGCAAAACAGGAGAAGAGAAAAAATTCACACATTAAAATTTTAGCCATGCAATTCCTATTGTAATTCTGTAACAGCACCCACATTAGAAGATATAAAAAGTACAAACATTAAAGTTCTAGGGCACTGAATATATAACTCCAATAGAAATGTGTCCTTACAGAAATGTAAAGGTCAATTTCAGGTGTATTCCTTAAGCAATATAAAGGATCAGATTAAACAAACAAAATACTATTGAGGCAGGTGATGGATCTCGAGAAAACTGTAATCATATGGAAATATAAGATCTAGATTAATAATTATAATGGCGAAGTTGACCCATCCAAAAAAAAAAAGAGTAGAGTTATAATATTGTCTCAGGAAAAAAGAGAGCAACAATGCTAAGTGCAACATTCAAAATAAAATAAAGTAGAGAAAGTGAAACTACATGCATCCTGAATAAGAACTAAAATAAAAGAAGCCAGCAAAGTTTTTACCGTTATATTTATCACAAAAGAAAGAGTCATATTCATGATATCACTTCTTAAATCTTAATTTGTTGTTAGCTTTTCCTTAACAGAGGAGAAATTCTATGTCCTCCCTTCTTCTATATCCCTGTCCTCCCTTCTTCTATATTCCTGTCCCAGAGAAACGGACATGGTCTAATTTTTTTCGTGGAAGCAAAAGAAAATAATGACCACATTATGCTATCTTGGTTGTAGAAAAGAATGAAACGAATGAGGGGATCCTAGGAACGACTGGACTTCCTCCATTGCATTCCATGGAAGAGAGAGGAAGTATATCACCTGAACATGATAAGAAGAGAGGAAACACGACTTGAGTCTGTGGGATAGATAAACTAGTCTTGCTTCATGTAATGGGTATAATCCTTAAGGTCTATTACAAGAAAACCAATGACATTGGCAGGATCTATTCAGTTTATTATCATACATTTCTATGTATTTGAGGATAGTTATCCTCCTCCGATGTAATTTAATATTTTCCAGAAAAGAAACTGATCATTTCATCTTACCTTTTACCTAAAAACTGACGTAAGATCCTTCCTCGAACTCCCTACCCATTCTAATTCACCTCCAAAAGTAAGTAATTTTTGTAATATATGAACCAAGCAAAAATTTGTAACATATGGACCAAGCACCACCCATATAAACTTCTGTGTCCATTTACTACAAGTAAGGGACCATATATTCATTTCTCGGACTACATGAGAGTTTTTTTTTTTTGGGGCAAGGTAGAGTACATGAGAAGGTTTAATGTTATTGTTCACCTCAAACCTTCTATGATTTGAGAAACAGAGCACAGCAACTAACAGTCCCCATTCCACGATGATCAGATGTTGCCGAAGGAATAGCAGAGGAACAAACAGTTAGAATTCAGTTTTGCTAGCCACCGAAGAGGTGCCAATGCTCTTGTATTGGCAGTTCACTTTAATCACATTGCAATAAATCAAAGAATTCCTGTAAAACTTTGTCTTTGACCATATGATCCCTATGACCTGAAAGTTTTATTTCCCTTTGATTTCATTTTGCGCCAATTAAGAATAAAGTAAGCCAGTAAGCAGATATGGAAGCAAGGATCAAAGTGACATGGCAGCTACTTAGCACTCCTCACAACCAGTGAAGACTTAACTTCTTTTCCAATTAAAATGAAAATCCTACAATCTGAATCTCACGTTTTTCTTGCTAGTGGGATTTGACCATAATTTAAAAGATTTAAAGTTCTTAAGCATCACCAAAAATATATTAAAAGAGTCTTATGGCATGATATTGCTCTAATTACTTTTCAGACTGCAAACTCTACATGTGCCTTCAAGCTTCCTTTATCAGTGTGATGTCCTCAAAGATACTTGATAACCAAGATCGTATACTTGAAGAACCTCTTTCAGCTACTCGGAAAAAATTGAGGTAGATAACTTGAAGGTTTCCTATATTTCAAAATGAATTTAAAAACTAAAATAGGAAAACGGTTAAGCTAAAAATATATCTTTTTTCGAGGGATTAAATAATATCGAAGTGGAAGCACAGCTGAACAATCATGTTTATTTCTCTCATTCTATCATTCATGGCATGTAACTTGCTCATTTGACAAAATCATATCAGAAGTGCATCTATTATTAGAAGTGTATCAGTTGTATGCGGTTAATATTCAATTCCTTTAGATCCTAGAGGGCAAAAAGAATTTTTAATCAAGCAGAACGAATGCCGTGATACAAGCAACAATACAAAGAAGTTATAAGTTTCAGTGCTCACAGGAACAACAGAGTAGAAACCATTTGGAATAGGTTCAGAAAGTGTTCCAGTTTTCCAGAGAATCTGGGAAGCAGTCTGAGAGGATAGCCTATCATATTCTCTCTCAGTTGGTTCCCGATTCCTCATAATTTCTTCTTTTCCATCAAGTGAAACGGATCCCAACTTTTCAACATAATCTGAAGGCCACCATGCAGTATTGGGGTATCTATGCTCTGGAAGCTCAACTTCATCTGGTATCTCTTCCATGTCAACAGATAGTTGAATTGCAATACCATCTCTTAACTACTACTACCTCATAGAGGAGCTTATAAATGCTGCTTCTTTGAGACAAAATATCATGATTTAAAAGCTTCTTCTCCTATGATCAGCACAAGGCTGATGCCATGAACCTGCAAAGTGAGAATTGGTTAACTCAAATTGAAGTGATTCTTCAACAAAAGACTGTCTATAGTTCCTTAATGCATGAACTCAAAAGAAGCAGGGCTGTTGTCCGAAAAGCTGCAGAAGAACTCACTGAAGCCTTGTGCACATGCTTCCCCTAGAAAATAAGAATAGAAAATAGGAAAATAAAAATAAATAAGAAATAAATGGACCATAATCAAAGTAGAGAATTAATCACTATCTCAAGTATCAGATTACTAGAAAAGACGCTCTATTACTTATGAAGAGTAGTCCTTGAAAGAATAGAAAGAAAAACCAAAAACTCATAATCTTACATTAGTAAATACAATTTTTCTTGACCAGTAGGACTATATGACAAAAAAATTTGGTGGAATGGTGGAGGAAAATACACTTTGTACAATCTCTGTAGTGATCGCCGATTGATTCGCCGCTCCGGTGAAGTTGTCCTTGCCGAAAATTTTCTCTCAGATCTGGTTTCAGTTTCATTTGCTTTGTTGAATCAATCCGATTACGTACGGTTGCTGATTTCGGGATCAACTTTTCATTCTTGATTCCTCAGTCAAAACACCAATTGGGAAGATTTCAATTAGAGTTCTCCTCAAAACCGCCATTATTGCTTCCCCTTGTCCCACAAGCCCCCACAATTCACTTACAGCGCTTTGGCCAAACCTTTTTTTCGTTTGATTTATTAAATCGCAGATCTATAGAGTTCCATCGTCTTCATTGAACTTTCACTTTCTCCGATAATTCCCCAATAACCCAGTTTTGCGCACTTCTTTGATATCTTTTCCCCCGATTGCATCGATAAGGGTTTCCTGAAGGTCGGTGTACATCCAATCAAAGTTAAACAAGCCCAAGTCTTGAATTGTAGAAACAGTTTCTTCTATTTGGTGAAGGAGAGAAGTTCTCAGCTATAGGGGGGTTTTCCACCGCCGGCCAGATTTCCGCTAACTTCAAGGGCTGCAATCCAGGTTCTATTGTTCCTCTCTTGTCTTGATATTTTAATAGTTTGATATTTTAGCGTAATTGTATCTCCTTGTCTGCCTATTTTGTTCTTGGATCTTTAGTTAGTATTTGCCCTAGCATTGTCAAATTAATTGCATATTAATTGCATTAGAGATAGCTTTGCCTACTTGTTTATATTGTTATCTACCTGTGTACATCTTTATTTTGAATCTTTTTATTTTGAATCTTTATTGCACATTTTCTTTGTGACCTTTAGTTGTAGATTATAGCCCCCTTTAGCTCTTGTATTGTATTTTTTCACCTATTTTTCTATCCTTTATTTGTAGATTATAGTTCCTTTAGTTTCTTTGTTTTATTTCTTCACATGTTTCTCTGACCTTTAGTTGAAGAATATAGTTCTCGTTAGTTCCTTTATTTTATTTCTTCACCTGTTTTGCAACCTGTGGTGGCAGATTATATTTCGGTAATTCATTTTATTTTTGTCACTTGTTTTCGGGATAGTGCTTGCATAGTGACTCATAGATTATAGTGTCTTTGGTGAACGATGGTAGGGTAAGGTCTTGTCCTCGGGGATGTCAACGCGGCGGGGGGAGGGGGGGGTAAGAGGGCTAAGGGAGCTACTAGGCTGAAAGTGGGGTCTTGGAACATAGGAACTTTTACTGGAAAATCTGTAGAGTTAGTGAAGATTCTCGAGAAAAGGAAGATTAATATAGCTTGTGTACAGGAGACTAGGTGGGTAGGAGATAAGGCGCGGGTTGAGGGCAGTTTCAAACTTTGGTATTCTGGGAGGGTGGGGGGCAGGAACGGGGTAGGTATCTTGGTTGATAAAGACCTCCGTGAACTAGTGGTGGAGGTTAGGAGGGTGAATGACAGGTTGATGACTATTAAGCTAGTTGTTGGAGGTTTTACTTTGAACATAATCAGGCTTGGATGAGGAAGTCAAGAGGCGTTTCTGGGAGGATTTGGATGAGATGGTGCGTGGTATCACGCATACCGAGAAGCTTTTCATAGGAGGAGATTTCAACGGCCACATTGGAGCGACGCCTGGGGTATGATGATGTGCATGGTGGTTTTGGTTTTGGAGATAGAAACGGAGGAGGAACGTCTTTGCTGGACTTTGCTAGAGCATTTGATTTAGTGATAACAAACTCGAGTTTCTCGAAGACGAGAGAGCACTTGGTCACCTTCCGGAGTTCGGTGGCCGAGGCTCAGATTGATTATTTACTCTGCAGGAAGTTTGATAAAAGTCTTTGCACGGATTACAAGTTCATCCCGAGTGAGAGCCTCTCGACCCTTCATAGGCTCCTGGTCATGGACCTTGAGATCACGAGGAAGAGGAGGAAGAGGGCGATGTATAGCTAACATAGGATCAAGTGGGGAGCTTTGACGGAAGCTAAAGTGCAGGAGTTGGGGGTCAAGCTGGTGACTATAGGGGCTTGGAGGAGTAGTGGGGACGCAAGCGCTATGTGGACCACTACTGCGCAGTGCATTAGGGAAGCAGCGAGAGAGGTATTAGGGGTCTCAAAGGGTTACTCTGGTGGTCACAGGGGAGACTGGTGGTGGAATGGAGAGGTGCAATGAAAAGTAGAAACCAAGAAAGCAGCATATCTGAAGCTAGTGGAAAGTGTAGACGAAGAGGAGAAGAGGTAGAATAGGGAACATTATAAGTTGGCTAAGAAAGAGTCAAAGCTAGCAGTTACGGCGGCCAAGACTGCAGCTTTTAGTCGTTTGTACGAGGAACTCAAGGGCCGAAGTGGGGATAAGAGGTTGTTCGGGTTAGCCAAGGCGCGAGAAAGGAAGGCGCGTGACTTGGACCAAGTGAAGTGCATCAAGGACGAAGAAGGTAGAGTTTTGTTGGATGAGGGGCTTATCCGTCGGAGATGGCAGACCTACTTCCATAGTCCCTTGAACGAGGAGGGGGACAGGAGCATTGTACTGGGTGTGACTTTGGGTATTATAGGCGGATTAGAGTTGATGAAGTTGAGGGAGCTATGCGTAAGATGAGCAGGGGCAAAGCGACCGGGCCGGATGAAATCCAAGTGGAGTTTTGGAAGAATGCGGGCAAGGCAGGCTTGGAGTGGCTCACTAGGTTATTTAATGTCATTTTTAGAACGAAAAAGATGCCCGAAGAGTGGAGGTGGAGCACGATGGTTCCGGTATACAAGAACAAGGGTGATATCCAAAATTGCAATAACTATCGGGGTATCAAGCTGCATAGCCATACTATGAAAGTCTGGGAGAGAGTGGTAGAGCCAAGGGTGAGGAGGAGTGTGTCTATTTCCGAGAACCGGTTTGGGTTTATACCGGGGTGTTCGACTACAGAAGCCATCCACCTTGTTGGGATATTGATGGAGCAGTATAGGGAGAGAAAGAAGGACTTGCATATGGTGTTCATCGACTTAGAAAAGGCATACGATAAAGTTACGAGAGAGGTTTTGTGGCGATGTTTGGAGGCTAGAGGCAGTGTTTTTGAGAGCGAGAAGCGCAAAAAAGCGACATGGGCTTGCCTCGCTTCAAAAGCAAAGCGCACGCTTCATTGAATTGAAGCGCAATTTTTAAAAAACATAATGTAAACCTTGCAAAGACACAATATAAATAATCAAAAAATTCAATTTAAAAACTTAGGGACATTTTTAAATCCCTATTAATATAAGAAAATACATAATCAAATAAACTGAAAATACATATAAAATTAATCAAATAAACTGAAAATATAACATATATATAATAATTAATT